AAAATATTACGCAATTCCATCCTCCCTATTCGCACGCGCCCGAGGATCGCAGGCGAATGCCACTTCGACTTGTTTCGTCTACTTACTACTCTCTGACGACTGTGCTGGGGAAGCAGCATATGCATGTAGGTAATTGGTGGATTTGTTAGTTAATTCGACGCTTTTGGAAAATGCTGGACATTTACCAGTTTTTCAATAGTTTCTTGCTGTAAATTAAACTTTGGAAGCGTTGTTATCGATGCGTAGCCATATAGCTGATCGATTGGTGATAAAATTATTGAAATTGGACCAGGGGCAGTTGAGTTTTTTTTTTCTTTGATTTATTTTCCTTCGATCTTGTTTTCCGTGCTGAGCACCAATGCTACCGACGCCAGGGAGGCAGCTCTCACACCTGGATCCTACCTATCGACCCATCAACTCATGAACCAGGGACCAACGGTTTTACTTCCCTTCCGAAGGAAGGCGTGATCAGAGATGTTATGCCTCAGAACATCCCGGCGGCGCCGACTAGGATTGAACCCAGGCCTGCTGGGGTGAGAGGTAATCACGCTTACCACTACACCACCGGCACCGCTATAGGCAGCTGAGTTATTAACGTTCAAAATCTTTCTTGATTTGTTACATATTCCATTTTCGGTTTTCACAAAGTGTACCCCCATATAGAAATCAAAGACGTAGTCCAACGTCAAAAAACTCTTCCGTGCTAAATTAAAGAACTAAAATTGCAATCTCTGGCAAATTTCTACAAGATTTATTTATTGTTTAAATTCTCTTCTTAGTTCAATTTTAGGACCACAATCATAGTGGTCGCTAACTTTGCTCATCAATTACACAAGTATTTCGTATGAAAGGTCATATTTCACTCCCGTAGATCGTTTCAAAATATTGTTAGGAACATTTCCTCCCAAGACAACATACCTGTAAAATGCATTATTTCAATGCAAACCATTTTTTTGTAACGCAATTACAAGCATTAGATTTCGTTTTCCTAAGCAATCAACTGGCTTTTGCATGTATCTGTGCGTAAGCATGCTTCAGGTTGAAAAAGCCACACGACGAGGTGATCCATGAATGAATTAGCAAGAAAAACCATCAGCACCGTCAGCAGTATCAAGCTCGCGCGTGACGTTTTTCATTCGCAGTAATTGATGCATATTGTAAAATTTCTTTTGATATTTCTATTCTATTTTGCGAAAATTATCGATAATTGAAAACGGATGCTATTCGGCAATGTCATCTATGCGTTATCGCAATAACTCCATTATAAGAGTGCTTAAAAATAAATAGTAAAAATATTTCTTATTTGAGAGTATTTCTAAGTCGTGTTGGAAACTCGTGAATTTGTGAAATAATAAAAAAAAAAAACAATTTAATGTGTAAGCTAATTGAAGGATACTCTGTGAATGTTTCAGCCTATTTGATGGAGGTTTTCTGATATATCTGGATATTTTTTAAAATAAATGGTACTATTTTAGAAATCATCCACTTTTGCCATTGCTAAATGAAATATTTTTTCAAATCAAAAGGTTCCTCAATTTTCACATGTTGTTTCACAAGTATTTGAGGATATTCTGCGAAAATTTCAGTCTATTTGATGAAGGTATTCTGTTATATCTTGGTATGTTTAAAGATAATAAGATAAATTGAACTATATCTTCAAATATTGTAGAAATCATCCACCTTTGCCATTGATCAATACAATATTTTGTAAACCAATTTGATCTTCAAATTTAGGCAGGACTTTCGGCAGGGCTTGTCTGAACTTCATCAAGACTTCGCTGAAGTTCGGCAGGCCTTCCCTGAACTACGGCAAGACTACCCTGAACCAGGGTGCCTTCCATTCATTTTGACTAAAAAAATGTTTTAGGAAATTATAGAATAATAAGATATTATGATGGTATTTTGTATGTGTAAGTAACAAGAAAAGATTTTTAAGCTTGTGTTTGACACATAAAACCTGCAAATTTAGCTTTGACAGAGCCACAATGAGCGATTTTCTGATCGCCTCTTCGCGAAGAGTGAAGAGCGAAGAGTGGGTGAGATAAATGACAAAATCGCTTATTGCTACTCTCATGCAGTAACATTGGCTGATATTATGTGTCAAACATAAACTCCACAATCTTTTCTTGTTGCTTACACAAACAAAATATTATTATAATATCTTATTATTCCATAATTTCATAAAACATTTTTTTAGCCAAAATGAATGGAAGGCACCCTGCCCTGAACTTAGAATCTTGAAATTGAAATTACCATATCAGTAGTTGAATTATTATAATTATGCAATAATATTGTGTTTACGTACATATTCAAAATTGCAATTCTTCCCATTTTTCTAATTAGCAATGCTTGTTTTTTTTTTTTTTTTTGTTAATTACTTTATTTGTACAGGCTCATTCGAATAAACTTTACAGAGCCAAAGCAATGCTTGTTGGTATTGGTGCATTAAGAATTTGGGTGTGGTTTGAACGGGTGTGGATTCAGTATCAACGGAAAAGCATTAACTTTCATCTTAAGGGGAAGTTCATCACTCCTAAAAAAAATACGTTTTGATTTGTTTAAAAATATTAAAATATCAAAAAACTAAAAGAATCACATTTTTTTTCGAATTTTTCAAAGAAAATTCACGTACAAAAACATTGTTATAAGTCATCATGGCAAAAGTTAAAACTGATTTTCTTGGGTTTTTGATAATTTTTCCCAATATTTATAGAAAAATAAAAACGCTCCGGAAAAAAAATATTCTCGGGTGGTAAACTTCCCCTTAAGAAATCTTTTTTTTTTTAATTTATGTTAAAAATATACGTTTGCATCTTATTCTGGCTCAGTGAATCCGAATTAAATAAGAACAAATACTAAAAATTTACTCGAAAATCATTAAACCCGTCAACTTCAACCCATATCAATATTTTAAAATTTGGTATTTCAAAATTGTCCTAAAACTAAATAAAACACTTAATATGATAAGTATTTGTGTAGAACGATAGATTTCTCAATGCTACTGATATACCATCAGTTTAACCTTTTCGTTTAATGAAATCATTTGAAATTATTCTCAGAACACCTTATTCTGCATAAAATTCTTTTTGAACTCAAATCCGAATTCTCTTGAGAGTCTCATTATAAGTGTCCTGCTTGTCCTGGTTGTCTTGTTATTCTCCTCACGGTTTCCATTAAATTATCCTCCGAATCACTTAGGAATTCAATTCAGAACTTTCTTTCTTCTACACAGATATCCCTTGCGATTCATTTCATAATTTATTAGGACTTCATCTCAAAATTATCTTGGAAATTTAGCCAGAACCTCCTAGGATTTTTTCCTTATTTTTTTTTTAGAAATCTTCCTCAGCATTTTTTTTTTAATTATCACTTTAATTTCGATTCAATTCTTCCCAAAAGTCTTATGGTATTCTTGGCAAATTCTATACAATAGATCTTAAAAGTTTTAGAACGCTGAAAATTCTTCCAAGTCTCAAAGCCTTGAATTTTTATCAGGGCAGAATCTGCGATATTGGAATTTTTTCATGTACTTAATTTTGCGTGTCCCGGATTGATGAATAAATTAACAATTCTATTTATTGTTTTCTAAATTTAGGATCACGAAATGTTTTTATAAATCACAAATCTCGAAAAAATTTCATAGTTTAAGACTCCAAGCAAATGTCAAAGTTTCACAATATTGAAAATTTTCTTAAACCCCAATTTTTAAAAATTGGTATTAGTACAGACTGCAGAGCGTTCACAAATATTCTTGCACCAATATCGTCAACAATTTTTCCTTTATCTCATTTCCAGTGGTTCAGAAGTAAAGGGGTGCAAGTGGCAAATAGAAACGAACACTATTTTAAGATAATATGAACCGTAAATGTCTACGCAATTTATGGATAGCCCCTAATGTGGATAGCGTTCAAAAAACTTCGCTCAACTTTGCAAACTGCCATTTTCTGATAAGTCACTTGCACCTCTTTCCTTCTAACACCCTCATTTGTTATCAAATTCATGATTTCAGAAAACAATTTCTTAATCCAATGAAGTTTATTTCTATATTTACAAAACTAAGTGATCAAATTGCCCCCGGATTACGGTATTTGCCGGTATTATCTTGGTAAAATTAGATTTTGTTCCACTGTTCCTACTTACAGCGCGTGTATTTTGAATAATATGTGTATCATGAATAATATGATAAATATTCAAATGTTTCGTGAAATATCGCGAAATATTTTAAAAAGGGCCAATCAGCTTTTGTAAACTAAAATTAGGTATTGCAAGCTTTGTTTTCAAAAGCTGATAGGCCCTTTTCAAATGCTACTCGAGAAACATTCTTATTTTTTTCGAAAACAACCTAAACATTGGTCTTTTCTTTAATTCTATTAATATTAATCGCTGAATGCAGCACAAGCGTAAGGATTGTAAGATGAATGTTAATTAAAAAATCGAATTGAGTATTAAAAACTTATAAGGATCAGCAATGATGAATAAGGTGTAAATAATGAATAATCAACATAATCAATAAAAATTCAAACTTGACACAAAAATTGTAAACATACAAAATACAAATATTGATAAAGGACATTTAGTAAATGATAATGAAAATCAGAACCGAATAAAAAAAAAATAAATGTTATTTAATATTTAAGATGAAATAAAAAATAATAATATTGGAAAAAATAAAGAAAACGGAAAGCGGAAGTAAAGCAAATCAATAATAATAATAAATTGCTCGACATACAAATTTCTGATGATGATGACGACTATCTCGAGCCATGAGTTTGAGTGTGCCTCATTTGGTACACATTGGCTACGTGAAAAAGGCCATGCCTGCATCGTTTCACTTTCGGATTCGTTTGAACGGTTGTGAAGCAGTTGAATTATTTTAAACTCGTTTCGATATATAAACACCAAACGCGCATGGTTGTCGGTACAGTTTGGCTTGATCAATTGTTCAAGGCACGTGTTTACAATTTATTACAGTACAAGGATCAAAAGATTAAATCGCAATTATGTTCAAAGTAAATATTGGATTGCTTAAAACAAAAGTTAACTATAAGGATGGGAGCTTGGGGTCAATTTAGAAAAACCAATGCGTAACATACAAACTATATTTTTCCAGTTGACAATTTTCGCCAGCTGTCTGGTGGCAGTAGCTATTTGTTCCCAAGTGGCTGCAAGTGGTTGGAACTCTGGCGGTCACGGAGGAAGCTATGGTGGTGGCTATGGAGGTGGCCATGGTGCCGTGATAATTTCATCTAACAAGGGTTGGCCATCGTCCGGAGGATGGAACCAGGGTGGAGCAGGCTGGAGCCAAGGTGGATCCGGATGGAGCAAGGGAGGATCTGGTTGGAATCAAGGAGGCTCAGGAGGTGGATGGTCCAATGGTGGGGGTTACGCCAAGTCGTACAATCATGTCAACACTGTGAGCAATGCATGGCCATCAACTGGATCTTCTGGTTGGTCATCTGGTGCATCTTCCTGGCCATCAAGTGGTGCAGGATGGTCTGGAAATACAGGTGGATGGAGCAATGGTGGAAGCACTGGTTGGCCAAGTTCCTCGGGTGGCAGCCATGGATGGACTGGAGCCGGAAATGGATTGAGCTCGGGAGGAGGATATAACAGCGGAAATGGCTGGTCGACTGGAGGTAAACCATTAATTAAGGAGGTAATTTTCATTTGATATTCAAGGAATTTTTTCACATAGGTTATGGTGGAGGAAACGGCTGGTCGACTGGTGGAAGCATTGGAGGACATTCTGCTGGATGGAGTAACGGTGGATCTGGTATATGGAAGAGCTGGTAAATCGATGGCAACCCGGTCTGTGTTATTTGTGTACCGACAGTTTTCACTATTTTATGTGTATATTTTGGAATTTTTAAGTGAAACCACAACAACTATTTGTTAATAACATCTTAGGAGTACGAGGTTGTATGTATTTTTTGTAAATAAAATAATGTTCTAAACAAAATTTCAATCTTGGATTGCTGGCTCTCAACTTAGTGTTCTAGATGCACTTCTACAGTTATTAATTGAGTGCTTTCTATGCCCATCAATGCATGATTTTTTTATATTGTATGGCAGCCCTAATAAACAAATACCATAAACGAACTGTATCCCCGATGGGTAAACTATCCCACAAATGGTTTGAATGCTACCCCGAGCACGTCGTTAAGCTCTCTTTTATGGTTATTTTTTATTAGGGAAGCACAATGACACTCGACCGAACCGGGATTCGAACTCGCCTCCTTCAGAGTTGGTAATACCGTGCCTTTGCTGACCAGGCTATGTGAGACCCCAAACCATTTGATCCCACTTATCCCATATCTGAGGAAAGTTGGGAAAGTTGCTCTCGTATTGTTCGTTTTAACCGAGAGAAGCGACACATCTGAATCTCAAGTTTAGATGCTCAACAAATCTCACACTAGCAAATCAATCTTCGAAAAATCTTCTTTCATTTGTCGCATCTACTTGCATCGCGCATCATCTTTTTGCAGGAAATCTTCAGAATCGTCATCAATCTTCTTTCTATCTACTCAGCGTGCGCGCAGCTAGCCACCTCAAAACACAATCTTTTCTGCATCGTAATTAGAGTCGTCCCCCTCGGTTTTAACGGTTAAAATAATAATAATACTGGAAGCCAATGAGCTAAAAATCTCGATAATGGAGAAATAAAAAATAAAAAAGTGAGTGAGAGCAAAAATCGTAAAATTTTCCAATCGTGTTTGAAAAGTACACCAAAATAATAGTAATATTTTATACTAATTGTAAACTGAAATCAAATTGTGATTTCAATTTGATTTTAAAGCAAAACTCATTTTAAAAATGTTTAAATTATGATGGTCAACTTTGTAGGGAGTAGGCTATCTGAGGCCACGGCTAATGGCTTTATAAAATACCTAAATGGTTATGCCAAAATGGAATGAATACATATTGCAGTACATTCCCCCTTATTACTGTTTTTTTTTAATTCGGACAGGTTTTTTTTTCTAAATTCAATCATATTTCACAAAGTAGATCCGTTACCTGGGATATCTTCAAATTTGGCCAATAGTTGCTCTGAAACACAATGTATCCACATGCCAAAATTGAGCTCTCAAGGGCGTTGTTAACCCCCCTGACGTTAATAGGTTAAGGTATTGCCGAAGCCAACATTTCCCCTAAATAAAAAAAACTCGAAAACGAATTTTTTGAGATTTTTTTTAATTTTGATATTGTTCAATGGTGCAAACATTATCACACATACGGTAGCATACCGAATTCTCTGGAAACATCATAAGGTATACAGAGCAAGTTGAAACGCACGGGGATGTTCGGGATCAATTTACGCTCCATTATGGTGGGTATATCATGGTGATACAGCTTTCTCACTATATGGACGAGAAGATCGCGGGGGGCGGTAAGTGCTGCTTTTCTTTCCTCTGTTCGGGACATAAATCCACTGCGATCAGTTATTTGATCTATTGTGGTATACCCCGTGTCCTTTGTTTAGTGCATGTAGTATTACTCCATCACTATTTAGAAATGAAGAAGTAAACGGTTTTGATACAGTTGTCATTCTTGTATTTATCGCAAGGATCCGACTTTAATTGTAAGGTCCCACTCTTTATACCCTTTGGAGAGTTGGAACACCCTCCAAAGGCGCGCCCCTTTTGCAGTCAAAAACGAATTCCTTTGCAACAAAATCAAGCAATAACACCGATAATGACCATGCATCAGAATTAACCACTTCAAACTAGAGTCTTTTCACTATCAACAAGTAAAAAGTAAAAATGACTAAGATGTGTTCCTTTGATTACAAAACAATTCTGTTCCCCTCGTTTGAAGTAGTTCGAACCAGGCGTCGGTGGTAGATCTTAATGCCAGTAACGCACCACGAAAAGGTAATCTACCAAGCGTTACTGGGCAACTGCTGCTTTAGAGCCAATTGTAAACAGACTCGGTCGCTGTCCCATATAAAAATCCAACATGGCTGAATCATTAATTTGACATTAGATTAGAACTCCTATATGTCACCTTACTCTCCATATGTCGATGGTAAAAATCTAGGTGAATCGCTGTGACATTCGAAACTTTAAGTGCACAAATATCAGCTTCTACGACACGTGCCACATTCAAATTGTTACTTCACGTTTGCTGCACTGCAGCATACATGAAGTAGCAATTTCAAATTAAATGGAGCACTGATTTCGGGGATTTGTGTAATTAAACATTCGAAGTGGAAGTACATGTATAGCCTTTGTGGCGGCTATTTGTGGACTCTTCAAGGAATCACCATAATCTGCAAAAGAGTGATTAAGGTTATTCCTTGTAGAGTCCACAAATGGCCGCCACGTTGGCTATACATGCACTTCCACTTCAAATGTTTAATTTCACAATTACATGTGATTACAATTTCCTCCAAGATTTTTTTTAGTTTCTGAGATTCACGACAACAAAAATTCGAAGTGACCCTGTAAAACAAAACAAAATATCGGACATTTGCACTCAACTTTCATCTTAATTCTTCTTCTTCTTCTTCTTCTTCTTCTTCTTCTTCTTCTTCTTCTTCTTCTTCTTTCTCTTTTTTCGTCTTCTTCTTTGTTTTTCAAGCTTAGGGACTGTTCATAACTACGTAGACAGTTTTTTTTTAATTCTTGACCCCCCTCCCCCTGCGTAGACAATTGTCCATACAAAATTTTTAAAATTTGTATGGGCCGTGATCATTGCCACCCCCTCCCCGCCCCTTAACTGACTAAGTAGTTTATGAACAGCCTCTTTTTTATTTTATTTTTGCTTGTCGGGTATTTTCATCACTGCGACCATTTTTCTGATCTGTTGTGATATATTCCCCATTTCTTTCTTTAGCTCTATCAAGATGCCGTATCACTTTTATTAGGAGTGATCGGCATTGTTTGACTAATAGCGTTATCTCAGCAAGCCATTACACTTCGAATAAAGTGCACTGCCGTACTGGGAGTTGTTATCCAAATGTCAAAGGGTTCTATAAGCCCCTTGTCGAAGAACTTACGCCTTTTATTGAAAATTGCCGGATAGTTGCAAAGCAAAATGTTCCGAGTCTTCCTTTTTTATGCCACAGAAGCGACATACATCATCTTGAAGTTTTCCAATCAGCTTCAAGTGATAACGGCTCGGACAATGACCTGTTATAAGACCTGTATATATACTAAGATCTTTCTTAAAAAGTTCCAGGATTTTGTGGGTCACAGAAATGTTTGGATTACTGAATCGCCTCGAGTGCCTAGCAATAGAATTGTTCTTTCAGTTTTCCTCCACTTTTGAAGATTCCCACGCTTTTAGCTCCATTCTAAGAGATGCAGCCGATAAGCTACAAAAGGGCTCTGGACCAATGATCTTATGAGAAGATTCGAGTCTTGCAAGTTTTTTTTTTTTTTTTTTTTTTTTTTTTTTTTTTTTTTTTATTATAGTCACTTTAACGCTCTTGGGTCATTCGTGACTTGTCCGGGAGTGAGATTTGAACTCGTGACTTTGGCGTGAGAGGTATGGATGCTTACCTCTACGCCGGGGTCGCCCCCGAGTCTTGCAAGTGCATCAGCTCTGGCATTTCCCTCAATTCCGCAATGACCAGGAACCCAATATAAGTTGATTATGACAAGACTATTTTTGAAGTTATTGACTGTCGGACATGACGCATATGTTTGAACTCTTATAGTTTTTACGCAAACAAATAATGGAACACTCTAAAATTGCTTGGATTTCAGCTTGTAACACATTTGGCCATCTACCCATAGCAACAGATATTTCTGTCCCTGGGCCAGTTACTCCTGCTCCCACTTGATTTTCAGTCTTGTGTCACAATAGAGGTGATAACACGCCTCCTTGCAGGCATCCTTTGGTTGCTCTTACATTGAGCTGGAGCTTGAGCTTGAGCTTGATTGACCGCCCACGGTTGCTACTCTGTTATTGCCAGATCAGATGTAATTACACAGAGAACCAATAGACGATGCTTGGGACTAGCAATCATCCTCAATGTGTAAAAACTGGTGATCTTAAATTAGGCAATACCAGCGCCGGCCGCGCCCGAACACAGGTCAAGAAAGGAATGGGAAGGATTGTGTTGACATGACACTCGCTTTGATGGAAGCCAAGAACACCTCTGCACTTCCACGAGGAATCACTGGGATGTTGGATAAGAGGGTTGGGTTTGCATCAGGGTTCGTTTTGGTAAACGATAAGCTGAATTGATGTCCTAACGATCATATAACGCGAAGGAGCTTGGGACTAAACCCACGGTCTTCTGCTCAGTAAGCAAAAACGTTTGCCACTAGGCAGACGAGCACCTTTTTAATCACCGAGTTGCTGTTATTACCATGTAGTCATATTAACAAATAAAACGATTGACGAATCTTGAATGTGGATGGGCCTGAGATTAGACTCATGATGTTCTGCTCAGTACGCAAAAACGGTTGCTCTAAGGCCACCGAGCCCCTCATATCACATAATACCGTTGCTCAAATTTTTGTATCCATTCAAACCCGGAACCAACGACAACAACGAGTTTCGCAAAATACACGATACACAAGCGATTTTACCATAAATCTCTTTGATATGTAAGGACCTGGGACCGCGTTTTTCTGCATCAGCTCTCTTTCAAATCCGAAAACTAAAAACTACGAAAAAGTACTTAGGCCTTCATTAAGTTCCACTTTCACGCGACGTTCAATGATTCAATTTGCTCTTTACGTATTGTTCAGGCTATAAATAGGCTCTTTTCAAAAATTACGCGAGAAATACGCACAATCGTCGCCTACCTCGCAAAACTGGTTCTAAACGACAACAAAGGC